CTCCTGGTTCATAGGTTCACACTCAACTACTGAGCCACCATGGCTGGTGCTACTCTTCTTTTTAAAAGCCAACCTTCAGGACACGCTCAGTGGTACCAGAAGATTTTAAATTTGAGCAGCATAGAAGGATTTGACTGAGATTAGGCTGTAGACTATGGCTGAGTGAGGACCAGTTGGCCAGTGCTGCCCAGCTGCTTTGTGCCCTTGGTGGGGCCCTCAGGTTGTGGCTGATTGACCATCTGTGGCTCCTAGGAGGGCACTTCAGGGTGCGGCCATCCCAGGTGGTGGTACAGGGAGATGTCCTTTTCCCTTCCATTTTGTGAGTGGGTGTGGTCAGGGTCTTCACTCATAGCACATCCCCCAGGGCAGCCAATCAGTCCCTGTGCGTGGTCCTGTCCCCCTGGCCCTGGTGCAAGGCTGGGGACTCACCTGACTTTGTGCTGTCCAGCCTGAAGGGATGGGTGAGACACAGCAGCCCTGGGGGAAGCCAGAGACCACAGAAGGCTATGGGGTGAGCTCGTTTTACTATTACATTTTTGGGTCAGCCTCCTTTTAAAAATAGACTTTACTTTTTTAGAGCAGTTCTAGGTTCACAGCAAAATTGAGCACAAGGTACAAAGACTCCCAATCTGCCCCTTGTCCCCCGCATGTACAGTCTCCCTCATTATCAACACTCCTCACCAGAGTGGTGCATTTGTTACGATCAGTGAACCTACACTGACACATCATTAGGACCCAAAGTCCATAGTTTACCTCAGGGTTCACTCTTGGTGCTGTACATTCTATGGTTTGGACAGATGTGTACTGACATGTAACCGCCATTGCTAATCCTACAGAGTAGTTTCACTGCCCTAAAAATCCTCTGTGCTCAGCTACTCAGCCCTCCCCACCCAACCCCTGATCTTTTACCATCTCCATAATTTTTGCCTTTCCCAGAATGTCATAAGGTTGGGCTCACCAGTCTGTAGCCGTTTCAGACTGGCTTCGTTCACTCAGGAATATGTATTTAAGTTCCTAATGTCTTTTCTTGGCTGGGCCCTCATTTTTAGAACTGCTTATCCCCAAATGCCTTTCTGCTCTGTAGAAGAGGGAGGTGACTTGCTGTCCCTTTAAGCTTATCCTCCCCAGCACAGTCCTGTGTGTGGTGCCCCAGTGGGCAGCTGGGGCGTGGACTGTGGCATTGAAACCACAGGAGGGGAGAACGTGGCGGCCAGTGTGCTCTGCTCCTCTCCGTCTGAGAACAGCATCCAGCTCCCCACTGAGCCTTTACCACCTCGCCTCCGGGAGGTTGCCCCTGGCTTTCTGGGCCTTTCGGGTCTTCATTTCTCTTGGCCCCGCACTCCAGGCCTCGCTTCCCTCCCCTGCCAGTCATCCCCTTCTCAACTCTTCCGATGGCCCATCAGAACATACCTGTGTGCTCTGCTCCTCTCGCCTCTGCAGCCAGCCTTTGTCTGGGCTCCTTCTGGAGCTTTATTGCTCCGTTGGACCCGCCCTATTGGGAGGGAGAGGGCGAGGGCTGGGTCAACCAAGGTGGGGACCCACGCAGGGCTCAGGGGGCTCCCAGAGGGCAGGGGTGGTGGCCAAGGATGGGCACGGGTCTCCGCAGCCAGGGGGTCCTGTTGCCCCTAGAAGTACCCAATTTTGGAAATGCCCCAGTCCTCCATCACTTCAGCTGCGGGGTTCACTTCTGTTTCTCCCAAAACTGTGTCCTAGTTGTCTGTTTCCTTGAATTCCTCCTGCCACAGGGCCCCGTCCACAGGAGCTGTCTATGGTGTCGTATTCCCTGTTGGGAGCAATGCAAGCTGTGTGATACCATAATTTATTAAAGTAAATGCTGAGTTTCAGAGGCCAGAGATAAAGACAAGAGGAAATTTACCAGCAAGCAGTCTCAGCTGAAGCGGATGGAGGGACAAAGGTGGAGGCTGATAGAGTCGGACACCACCAACAAAAATAGGAACCTGACCAACGTCTAGGATGAGCAGCCTAAGCCTGAGCCTGAACCAGAGCCAGAGCAGCATAGGGAGCGTGAAGCCACTGAGCTGAGACTCTGGAACAGTGGTTCTCAACCTTCTGGCCCTTTAAATACAGTTCCTCATGTTGTGACCCAACCATAAAATTATTTTCGTTGCTACTTCCTAACTGTAATGTTGCTACTGTTATGAATCGTAATGTAAATATCCGATATGCAGGATGGTCTTAGGCGACCCCTGTGAAAGGGTCATTCGACCGCCAAAGGGCTCGCGACCCACAGGTTGAGAACCTCTGCTCTAGAAGAAGTCTTCTTTGCATCCCGGAGACCCTGACAGGATTCCGAAGGAAGGGAGGGACTGGCTGCAAGAAAGTCCTCAGGATGGCTGTGGCCAGGGCCCAGAGAAAGGAGAAGGGACGGGGGTGGGGGAGGGGGGAGGCACCCGTACAGGAAGGGGACACAGTACAAAGGTGGCTTAGTTAGATGACAAGGGCAAGCTTGGCCTTGGAAGAAAAAACCAAGAGGTCTTTATCCCCTTTAATCACCAAGCCTTGAGTGCTTATTTTTTATTGTTATATGACTTTTGTATTTATTTTGTCTTCTTTTTTTAATCCACATCCGAGGATATGTTTTTATTGATTTTAGAGAGAAAGGAAGGGAGAGAGAGAGACAGAGAGAAACATTAATGTGAGAGAAACATCTATCTGTTGCCTCCCTTACGTGCCCTGACTTGGCACTGAACTGGCAACCTAGGTATGTGCCCTGGCCAGGAATCAAACCAGCAACCTTTTGGTGTACCGGCCGATGCGCCAACCAGCCAAGCCACCTGGCCAGGCTGACTTTTGTATTTCTCATCATTAACATCCTGCTACTTTCACTGCAAGTGATTTCAGTATTTATTGGCAGCTAGATAAAGGAAGGAGAAAATAGTTAACCTGATGTTTGTTTGCAATTCCAGAAGGCCCTTGGAGTCTCCAAGGAAGGCAATTAGCTTTAAATGCATAAAAGATGATTGATTCAGTGACTTCACTTACATCTTTTCCCCTCAGTCATGGGGTCACCATGGAGACTTGAGGAAGTTTGCATTCAAAGAGAGTTCTAGGAGCAACCTGACATTGAGAAGTGCAGCCTGTTTCTGTTCTACAAAGGAAATCAGAACCAAATGAATGGAGTGAGGACAGATTGGGAGAAGATACAAATAAAGATTAGAAGAGAAAGGGACCACACGCAAAGGAATGAAGTTTGGCAGTTAGCTCACACCATACACAAAAATTCACTCAAAATAGATCAAAGACCTAAATGACAAAACTATAAAACCCTTAGAAGAAAACATAGGAGTAAATCTTGACCTTGGGTTTGGCAAAGGATTCTTAGCTATGACCCAAAAGCACAAACAACCAAGGAAAAAAACAGATAAATGAGACTCCTTTAAAATCATAAACTTTTGTACTTCAAAGGATATCAAGGAAGTGAAAAGACAACCTTCAGAATAGGAGGAAAACATTCGCAAATCATATATTTGACGAAGGAGTTGTCTGCAGAATGTGTAAGAACTCTTACAACTCAATAATAAAAGGACAATGATTCAATTAAAAAATGGGCAAAATATCTGAATAGACATTTCTCCAAACAAGACACAGAAGTGGACAATATGCACATGAAAAGATGCTCAACATTATTAGTCATCAGGGAAGTGCAAATAAAAATCACAGCAAGATAACTACTTTGCACCCACTGGGTTGGCTAGAATAAAAAAGTCAGATAACAAGTGTTGGTGAGAATGTGGAGAAATCAGAACCCTAATACATGTTGAGGGGACTGTAAATGGTACAGCCACTTTGGAAAAACTGTCTGGCAGGTCCTCAAACAATTAAATATCGAGTTACCACATGGTCCAATAATTCCACTCCTAGGTATATACCCAAGAAAGTGAAAACATAGTTCCACACAGAAACTTGAACAGACATGCTCATAGCAGTGTTATTCATAGTAGCCAGAAGGTAGAAACAATCCAAGTGTCCATTATGTGATGAAGAGATAAACAAATTGTGACAATGAAGGTCAGTTGGCATAAAAAGGAATGGAGTAGTGATGCATGCGACAATGTGGACATTGGCTCAGTGAAAGAAGCCAGTTAAAAAAGACCACATATAATGCCAGGCCATTGTGGTTCAGTGGTGAGAACTAGGAGGTCATGGTTTGATTCCCAGTCAGGGCAAATGCTCTAGTTGTGGGCTTGATCCCCAGTGTGGGGCATGCAGGAAGCAGCCAATCAATGATTCTCTATCATCATTGATGTCTCTCTCTCTCCCTCTCCCTTGCTCTCTGAAATCAATAAAAATATTTTTTTCAAAAGACCACATATTATGTAACTCCATTTAAATTAATGTCCAGAATAGACAATTCTATCAAGACAGAAAGTAGTTAGTGGTTGCTTAGGGTGGGGCTGGGGGTGAAAGATGACAGCTAAGGAATATGGGATGTCTTTTTGAGGTGATGAAAGAACTCTAAAATTGACTATGGAAAGGGTTGTGTATATTTGTGAGTATACTGAAATCCACGAATTATTCACTTTGTGGGTGAATTGTATGGTATGTGAATGATAGCTCAAGAAAGCTGTGTTGTTTTTTTTTAAAGTGAGAGACGGGGGATGTAAAGTACAGCATAGGGAACATAATCGATACTATAGTAATAACTATGAATGATGTCAGGTGGGTATCAGATTTATGGGAGATCTCTTTGGAAGTTATGTAAATGTCTACTCACTGTTGTACTTCTAAAACTCATATAATATTGTATGGTAATTGAAAAATTAAAACAATCCTATATAATAAGGAGCTAATAAGCTAATTAGACTGAACAGCAGAATGACTATCCCGACAATCTTCCAGACGAAGCCGGGGCTGTGAGGGCCAAGGCAGCCGTGGTTGCAAGGGCCAAGCCCCTTGCATGAATTTCGTGCATCAGGCCTCAAGTTTTTAAATAAAAAATTAATTATGATTTAAAAAGACAGAAACAAATATGTAGAATGCACAGGAAGTCCTAAAAATCAGCCGAAATGAGGAAGCGATACCATTGGAAACGTGCGTAAAGGACCTGCAGGTGACTTACAGAAGAGGAAACCAACAGAGCTCAAGGGACAGGAAAAGAGGCTCAAAGCCAGTGGTAATCAGGGCAATGCAAAATACTCAACAACGAGGTCGACTTTTATAGGCATTGCTGGCTGGAATGAGAAAGCTGGATGAGGCCCAGTGTGGGCAGAGACTGCGGAAATGGGAACCTCAGGCAGGGCTTGGGGGGGGATGGGGCTGCGGATGACCTAGCAGTCTGTGTCACCATACACAGTAAGGAAGGGGCAGTGAGAGTCATGGGCGCTGCAGGACACAGACAGGCCTTGTTGTGCTCATGTAGACGAAGGGCTGGAGGCCATCCACGTGTCTGTCCATCACCAGGAGTGGCAGGCAGTGCTCGCAGTGCAGTGCTGTGCATCTGTGGATGCAAAGACGTGGATGACCACACAGCAACTCACTGGAGTGGGTCTTAAGAAGGTAGGAGGAAAGAGGATGAACGAGAGAGCACAGTACCATCACACAAACTAGCATCCCACAAAGCCACCGGGCACGTTTTCAAGAACAGATAGAAAGGAAAGGATAGACACTAATTAACACTTTAGAATGATTGCCTGGGAAGAGTGGGTGTGGGCACACACACACACACGCACACACACACACACACCCCAGAACGACAAGAGAGAGGCCCTTATGGCCAGTGATGGTGAGGTCCGTGCACGGAGGCCCACAGCTAACTCCGTTTGGCAGTGGCTGTTCATGCGCAGTACCCGAAAGGCTCGAGGAGAAGGGCTGAGTGTCTGTGGGTCACCACCCAGGGCAGGTGGCCTGGGAGCGGGGACACTGCTGGTCACACAGCTGGAGGGTGCCGGGTGCTGAGGGCCAGCAGTGCTCTGTGTGCCGGCGGTGAGCACGGAGTCTACTTTTTAGGTGAAGGAGTGCATAAACGTATAGAAGGTAAATAATACTACAAGGCAGCGTGACATAGGTGCAACGTGAGTTATGAGGAGGGCGCGTCCTGCAGGAGTTGGAAGGCGATGGCCCTCAGACTGCAAGTCCCTCCAGGCCAGGGGCTCTGTCTCCCTGTGTTAGACTCCCAGGGCTGCCCTAACAAATCCCCCAAACTGGGGTGGGGGTGGAGGGGGGCTTCAAACAACAGAAATTGATTCTCTCACAGGTCTGGAGGCTGGAAGTCTGACATCAAGATGTCCACGTGGCTGTGCTCCCTCTGAAGACTCCAAGGCAGGGGCGGTCCTTCCTTGCTCCTTTCAGCTTCTAGGGCAGTGATGGCGAACCTTTTGAGCTCGGCGTGTCAGCATTTTGAAAAACCCTAAC